GCTGTGGCTGCCCTGCATAGGGTGGTGTTCGATATTCTAAATCACCCACCCTACAAGCCCAGGCCTGACCCTGAGTAATTAATACCTGTTTCCAAAAATTAAAAATTAGGCTATAAAAAATTGATCCCTCACGATGAAGGGGTAGTTTCTCCAGTTCAAGGGCCAATTTTTTCATACAAGTATTGAATGGAAAGTTAATTGTCTGAATATGTATTGCACGTAGAGAAGCCCCAGCTTTGTAGATTCTAAATCTTTATCGTAGTGGCGTTTTAAGTGTAAGAATTGGACACGAAGTTTACCGTTATCATTATAAGTAAAATATTAATCTTAATTTTTCCGGAAATATATTACAATATATATATGTGTATGAACAATTTTGACCATACCAAGTACATTGACACTTAATTTTGGGATTTTCCAAAACTGGTGTTAATGGACGGGAAATTGACTGTTATCTATTGTTGTATTAGCGAATGGGTGATCGTTTTTCTAAGCTCAACTCAATTATGTTATTTGCCGTTGTCTCTTCGTACGTCAGTGATTCGTCATTTGTTTTGATTTGATTTTCTCATTCTTAATCTTTCGATCACTCACCCATGCAACTGCGGCGCGCCGTTGATCGTTGAGCTCGTATATTAAAATGAATACAGTAATACAGTGCGATAATTACATCAGAGTATGAATGGTAAATTTCCATTGAGAAAATAAACAATAATAAAAACACCCTGAGTTTGAAAACATTTTACGGTTATTGGGAACTCATTCTTATGGATTTTAGTCGCCTGGATTGTAGTTCTCCACAGCCGCAGAGTAATAACATTGCGAATCGAACATATCTACACACGATCGGTCCATTTCCCGTAAAAATCATTGCAAGTAAAACGAACGAAATGAGTTCGTATCTAAAATGGCATCACAAAAAACCCTTTTCTTTTTTGTTTTCTCATATTGAAGGCATCTCTATCATCTATGATGTCGGTATTTAGGTATTTTATTTTTGGTGAAGATGCTTTCTCGTTTTTCAAAAACCCTTAATTGACGCTTTACCGGTATTTAAGTAATTTTTGCTCGCTGTTTAGTGGTGTCTCTGTGTGTGAAAGACGCCTCCTGAAAATGGTATGAAATTTAGATTTCGCACACAGTCCTTTGGATCGTTGATATCGTTACAAAGCTGGTCTCCAGTAAAAACGCTCGATTTACAATTTTCCTTATTTATCTTTTATTAATATTTGGACTTATTTACTTAACTTCGAATACAAGTAATGATTAAGAATTTTCTTTTCAAATAAGTATTTTTTAGTAATCTTACATACATACATACATGCGATTTTCTACAATTATAATATTTCTTTATAAATACGTCATAGTCACATCGATGAATAATCATATTCTGGAGTAAGACGAACTTTTGTGCATTAATTTTGCCGAAAATTTGGTAATAAAATCGTCTTTAACGCCTATGATTATCACCACCTTATGCTACTTCCTTTCGCGCTCTTTCGCTCTCAAGTCATTCCCAAGTATCTATCATCGATGGCTGCACTTAAAAAATTTTACAGTGTATTAAAGAAGCGCCTTTTGGCTCTCAATTCACTTCGATGTACACACAGAATGGACGACACTTGAGAGAAACTAAAAATGGGAGACGTTTCTATGTTTTTCCGCTTCTCGCACTCTCATCTCTTTTCAGCTTCCAACATTGACATATTACGTTGCAGGTCCTCTTTGCAAACTTTTAAAATTTCTTTCGGTGCTTACTTAATTTTTTTTTAATTTAATTTATGTTTTTTTTTTATAACTTTTAACTTTTTCAAATGACTAGATTCTCAAATAATGTACTTCCCTTAGTTGCACTAACATTAACTACTCTATATTTATTTTTTATATTTTATTATAGATTCATGGTTTGACTGTAACAGAATTATAAAAAAAAATGTTTAACTTTATGTGTTGGCTAAGTAAAATAGTTAAACTTATTTCTTCCACTTGGCAGGCTTAATGTTGAAGCTGTTAGAAAAGTCGCTGGCATAACTTTTAAACTAACATTTTAAGAATATTTAGCAAAGTTAATATAGTTAAAAAAGTTAAAAACTTATTTATTATTAATAACTATGCAAGTTTGTAAGAAATTACACTGACTTATTATTTATATAATTTTTTTAGGTTAGGTTAAACATCGATATTGAGTGAGAGCAAACACGTACATTCACACAATAAATCAACATATAAATAATTTAATTCAAAATAGTTATTTATCAATTTTTTTATTTTATTTATTTAAAATAAAAACAAAATTTAAATAAATTATTTACATATATGAAATTGAATTTTAATGGGAAAAATGAACAAAGAAAAACTTCACTGCGTCAACGTCAAAATTTTTCGCTTCTTTTTTAGCTTCGTCTATATTTCTCAACACATTTAAGGACGCTTCAACAGTGAAGACTTAATCTATATTCTCAATGAAATAATAAATAATAAAATTTCACAGGAGCATTGTCATACATAATGTCGCTATAATGACCCCTCGCGAAAAGAGGAGTATCCACTGGCAGTAGAACTTATTTATGGCAGACTTAACCGCATTTTTTTTTATAAGAAAATAGAGTTTTTTATTAAAATTTCTTCAAAATCAATAGGTCAGTTTCCCCGAACTTTTGACTACTGACTTTGAAAAGAGTATTTCACGAAGAGTGAACAACTTCCCAAGGCTGAATCTCTGAGACCTTTATTCGGAACGTCTTGAAAATTTAGGATAATAAAATCTCGAGTCTTTCTCGAGTAGAAATTAATAAGGTTATAAAAAAAATTCGATTTTTGTAGGCTAAAAAATCCATGTAACGCCTTAAATATAAAGCATTGATAAAAGCAAATATTTGTGATATTAAAAAGTTCAATCAAATATAAATATATTAAATAAGTATAAATTTAATTGATTTAAATTATTAAAATAAATTTATAATATTTAGCGAAAATGTATTCGACTATAATTTTCATCTGATTTATTAACTGAAATGTAAATTAAAACAAACAGTGATCGGAGGAAGCACAAATATTCAGATTTTTTCGAGAAAATAGAAGAGAGAGATGCTTGAAATTTCCTAGAATGTAGCTAATTTCACTAAAGGAAAAACTGATTTTCAGAATTCTCAGGAATGATGAAAATAAGCATCACTCAGTTTTTGAAATCCACAAAGAGGAAAGTATCTTCGGCTAACCAATTCATACTCACATTACAAAATAAAAAAAATAAACAGAAATAGTTAATAGGGCAGAACAGAATTTTTTTAGAATACCAAAATTTTAAAACAAATACTAATTGACGGAAAATAATTTACTAATATTAAATTAAAAATGTTTAAAGCAAAGGTTGCAGCACCACCGAATCCACTTCCGAGGAAATGCAACCATTGCAAATCGTGGACAACAGTCTACCAGGAAAAGTATCAACTTCGCTATAACGATGATTTCTCTGTTTACTAAACCGCGGATTATCAGTTACAGTTAAGGCAAGAAGAAAATGTTACTTATTTCTGTGCTGGGAACAGTTTACAGATTTAGAATACTGTTCGATGTTTTAAGGCAATTCTCGGAATGTACAATGTGACTCGAGTGAATCAACCGTACAAGCAATTAGTTCCTCAATTTAAATGTGGGACGGTTTTACACAATGAAAGGCACGAATGTGTATGTTTGTGTGTAGTACGTGATTTACTTGTTGTTTACGCGGTTACGGCAGAGTAAAAGGAATTCATTCTGTTGTATTTAATGTTTACTAATAGTATAAAATAGTATTGGTTTTTAAAAAATATATTAAATTTAATTTAAATTTTTTTTCTAAATTGTTTTTTTTTCATATTTTTTATTATTATTATTATTATTATTATTAAGGCGTACGTGTGTTTGCCAAAAATTGAAGTTATTTGGTTGTAATTGTACAGTAAAAATTAAAAATAAATTAAGTTTTAGATTCCTAATATATAAAACTGGTGTTAAAGACGTTAAATATTTTTATTCATTAAGGGTATTCACGGCGAATAATATAGCAATATGAATTATGCAAAAGTCTAACGAAATCATTTAAATTGCCATTAACACTCAAATTTCTAGCAATTTAAATATAGACCACACTCACTCAAAGACCGCGAGTACATTGTCTTATGAATACCTTTGATGATTTATAATGAAAACGAGTTATAAATGGATTTTTTTATTATTATTTTTTATTTCAATACGGCACTGTTTTGAGGCGAGCTTTCCGAAAGCTTTATTTAAGAGCAATTAGACAAGTCAACGGCTAATGCACATGTGGTGAAACTGCACTAGACTGGCGTTAGCACGCATGCGCATGAGCTGAATTGCACATTGCAAACGTCTAAGCCAGATTTGAATTTGTGTAGATTTTGATTTGGTTAAGTTTGATGTAATAAATTTACGATTGTTTTTGATTTTTAATTAATAAAATTTTGTTCTTTACGTTTAAGTAAGTGGAATTTGTTGATTTCATTGGATACATTTGATCGTTATCGGATATAAATGCAATAGAATAATTATTAAAGTATTGATTGATTTTTTTATACTTGAATGCGATCCGTTAGTCATTGAACGTTGCCTGGTGGAAGTGGATTTTATTGTTTATAGACATACATACATACATTTATATGTATAAATAATTAAATAAATCGACGTGGCTATGGCTAAATGGGATATCTAAAATATTCACAGCGGCTGCTAGGGCAATGCTATGCTCGTACATTCAGATTTCCTTTCAGCCTGGTTTTGCCTAAACTAAAGTCAAGAAGAACAAAAATTAAAATCAACACAAATTTACGAATTTACATAATAAATATGAATTTATTAGCCGGTTTCCTATTTCAAAAACTGCGTAAAGGGTTTTCCAGAAGTTATTACGTCAATACAAGTTAGAAAATGAAAAATGTATTGTATATAAAAAATGACGAGCTTCGGAAAAAAATATCGAAATAAAACAGTCTTTTTTTATAATTTTTTAAAACAAAAAACGTACTTCACACACTTTTAATAATTCAATTTATCTCTTTACGTAGAACAAAACAAAAAAATCATGTACAAATAAACGAAAACAGCGTAAACTATAAAATAAAAATAAAACTAAGCGTAAATTAATTATAAATTATAAATAGGTACATATTTGTTGAACAAAATTCAATATTTCCAAGTCAAACGAAAAGAATGAATAACACACACATACATACATACAAGCATACATATTCATAAGCAATTAATAATTACACACATATAAACACAACAATTAATATGGGTATGTTGTAATTATCAAAGAAAAAACTTATTTGGTTTTAGTTATGCACACATAAACGCACATATATAAATACTATATATATGTAATTTAAATAAGTAGAAAAGAAAATAGTACAATAGCATAAATATATGAGTAGTACAATGAACGTTTCTTCTTTTTATTTATAACTTTTTAATAGTTATAAGATATATTTACTTAGCGATATCGTGAAAACAGTATTTAAGTACTTACTAATGCGATGTGGTTTTGAAAGCTGTCTATTGGCCAAGCAAGAGTTTGAGAAATGGAATTTCATAAAATCAACAAATTGTGCCACAAATTTAGCTTATATTTCCAAATTCAATTCTTTGTATGAGTTAAAGTATTAAATTTTGAACCGAAACTACCAATCCCGGCTGTTTAGACTACGATTCCCGTTCATAGTTTATTCATTATAAAGAAATTAATTTAACTGTGAACAATCCTCGTATTTTTCTCGCACCTTAGACCAATTTTTAGTAAACACCTGTTTAACAAAACTAGTCATTATGAACTTAGTTTCGTTTGTTGTTAAACGCCTCTGCCAAAGTAATCAGTTTTCAATAAACTCAGCATCGCATTAAAATGTTTCTGTTTGCACGTGAAAAATTGTGTACATTGTTGTTGTTATATGTGTGTTTATATAATTAAATTTCTGTATGACATATGCGGTTACATAGTAGTTAAAGTTTAAAAATAATTATCTTTGTATATTTATCGAATATTTGTTTTGTTTTTCTAGTTCATTATTCAGTATTCGTCGTTAAGGTTTATCATTAAATTAATTCATTTATTCATAAAATCAGTCCATTGTTAAATATATAATTTTCGGTTTCCTTGTTTTTTTTTGCGTCAATTTTTTTTCTTTTTCGTTTTGCTGTGCATCAATTATGTGCAACTACAAGTATATTTCAGCAAATGTCTTAATGCTTTCAATTGCTATGCTTCCACTCTTAGCGCAGCGAATAACTGCGCAAGTTCTAGTTCGTGGAGTAATTTTTCATTTCATGAAATTTTGCATTTCAATTTTACTCTTAATCTTCGGCTCCATTTCGCTCGCTGCTCGTAACTGATTCATTTACGCACATCTCAAATATTTTTGCCTACACGTATAATATAAAGTATAATGTTTAATGTTTAATAATAGATTTCCAAACATTTCGTACAATTGACTTAAAATTTAAAATTACAAATGTATTTGATGTGACTTGGGCTATAATAAATTATGTAAAAAATAGTCAATCAATCAATAGATATTTTAAATAATTACAAAATAGATTATTGAGCTCCTCTGATTAATTTTCGTTTTTGCTTAGATAAAAAAGTGCAACTCATATTTAGATAAGAAAAAAATCATTTTCTACACTTTTCCCGCTACACTTCACTCCCGGCCTTGCCTTTACACGAGTTCTCAGCTCATACACTGTTGCCTCTACCTCTTTATGCACTGCTTAAAATTAAGGTCTATATTTTTTGGTTGTTGCTTATCTTTAGCACAAATTCATCGTCTACCTTAGTTGTTAAACTTTACTATAATTTCTATAATTACCGCTACAACTGCTAATTGTTTAAATATTTCTTTTTATAATTGTTGTATTTGTGTTTGCTTATTTTATTTTAATTTAATTACTTAATTCATTTTAGTTTCCGTATGCTAATTCAACTAATTCTATTTCTTTTTGGCCGCTTTTTTCTCTGCTTTGCGTATAGCCTTTTCTCTTTCACGCCGCTCACGTTCCTGGTCTTTGCGTTCCTTTTCGATGCTCGCCTTTAAATCTTTCAGACGTCGCTTCAGTCGATGTTTATCGTCGCCACTAACGCCGAGCGTTTTGAAATCTTTCGAATCGAGCGACAGGAGCGCACCCCCCTCAACATTATGCTCCTTGAAGACCGGAATATAACGTTCCAATTCGATGCCCATAAGCCAATGACCGACCTGTGGCATTTGCGGGAAAAGAAATTTATAAAAATAAATTTATTTAAAGAAACGCAATGCTCATTCGACACTCACCTGCTCCTTTGTCCATTCATGGACTGGCCCACCCTTGTAATTATAGCAAGCTGCTGCCTTGCGATCCGAAAAACTGCTACTAGAGCCGGACAAATCAATGGCACGACTGGGTGAATAGCCGGGTGAGGAACAACCGGATGACATGCTGGTCGGCGACGGTGGTCCAGTGGCTTGCTGTTGCTGTTGCTGCCATGGTACTGTGCCAGGCGGAGAGAGAGATTGAGGTATAACTTGTTTAACTAAGCACATTCATACATTTCAATTGAATTTTCGTTTGTTTATATGATTTTAACAACCACCACAAGGTTAAAGGTTTTTGTTAAAGGTCAATCAAAACGGTTATTATAGACGCATAAGGTTTCAAATTGTGTTATTTTGCAAATTAGTTGTTTACCACAACGTCGCAACGCGGCACATAGCATGGTTTAACAAATTATTTTATATAATCATTTTATGTTAAAGTAAATATGAAATACAAGAGCAAACGTGAAGAGAAAAGAAAGTACAAAAAGTTTTTTTTTTGGGTTAGTATGTTATGGGAACGCAAATTGTACATACATATACACTTAAATATATGCTTAAAAATAATAGTTGCATAAAGGCTATGAAAACAGTTAAGAAAAGGTTAATAGCAATGTTTGGTTGGTTACACAGCGAAAGTTTAAAAATGTGGATGCAAACGACAGTAAGGAACATTTTTTAAATATTTTTATATGCGAAAGTTACTATTTAGAGCATTGTTTCAATGTTAAAGTGCAAACGAAATTCGGATTAAGTATAGATTAGGTGTCATGTATTGGTATAGCAGTGTTTTTCGATTTTGGTGAAAGTACGTGAATGCAATTTTTTTCTTTCTTTGAGCAGGGAAAATATCAAGATTATTATTGTGCAGTTTATAGCGAAAAATGAATGATTATTTCTCCATTACGCTTTGTAATTACCTTTGGGTTGTGCCTCGTTCACCGCTTGTCGTATTTCATTGATAAGTGTCTTACAGTTGATGGCAGCTGTGCTTTGGCTTTTATTAATTTCTGTGTAGTCATCACTTGAATGCCGCGATGAGCCGTCACCAAGTCGTCTATAAAGAATAATCACAATGAAATGTTTGTTGAATGAAAATATGGTATGAATTGGGTTTACAATTTGAGGCGCTCTATAAACGGCGTAAGAGATGAAATTCAATTATATTATAGCTTAAGGCAAAAATTTAAAGAATTTAAAGGAAAAATCGACGAGAATCTGTATTTTATAAACTCTTGTTAAGTCACCAAGTGATCTAAAATATCTCAGTGGCCGAGTTAGTGAAAAATTAAGATACATTTTGGTGAGAATGGAGTGCTATGTTCTTGTTGTTGCTGTAGGGGTTCACCAGCTATGCTTCGGGACAGGTGAGACTAGTCTCGTTCATCGATATCATATAACGGGAGGGCCAGGAAATAAGCTGTTTCGTCGTATTCGGATCAGAATTAAAGGTGGGTTAGATAAGTAGGTTTGAAGGGACACGCCAAGAGGTAGTTAGTTTTGTGCGGGGTTTCACTGGAAGTCAAGCCGTTAAAGACGGTAGCCGTAGATTCCGCTGCAGTGAAGAAGTGGAAAAGGTCGGCGAGGTAGCAGTTTACCTTTGAGCATATTACTGATGGCCAGACGCCAATCTCATCGGCGTATGAGATCAAAATAAGGCGTGCCATTCTTGAGTTTGATATGCCGACGCTTTTACAAAAAAAGAAGGTAAAATAAAATCCCTGACTGCCGGTATGCTGGTCGATAACCTCATTTATAGGGATAGGAAATCGAAAAACAAAAATTATTAAGGGCAACACAAAGAATATAAAATAAATTAAATTATCATGCTTACCTCTCGCGCTCGGAAAGCGCCTGATTCAGCTGCTCCGTAAATGATGATGGCGGCATTTTACCACTTAGAAGGGCACCAGTCGGTCCGACACGCTGACGCCGACTCGGGTACATCCAATTCTCCGATGATTGTTCATTCTCGGAGAGTTTATCGTTTGAGCCTAAAATGGAATCGTATGAACTATTGAGATCACGACTGCTAGTACCGAACGTTGTCATATTGCTGCGATGAAAATCGCCAACGCCGCCCACAATGCCGACGCCTGCAACACCTACGCTTACATCGGGCGGCGAACCGATTGTGTTCTTAAATATGTTTGGTATGGTGGAATGACCAATGCCAGCAGCTGCTGCTGCTGCCGCTACGGCGCTCTTATTATGATCCTTATGCACTTGCGCATACAATTGATTAATCTGTTGTTCACGCGCAGCCGCAACACCACTACCGGCCGTGGCAGTCGAATTCAAAAGGATGGCAGTTGTGGTGCCAGCTCCGATGCTACTGCTATGGTGGCCATTGGTAGCGTGATGTTGCTGTTGCTGCTGCTGCAAGTAACTGCGATGTATGATGCTGCCACCACTGCTGCTGCCATTCGAAAGTCCATTGCTGTCGGAAGCAGAGGCGGAGGCGACACTGGCGCTAGCATGAACATGTGCCACCGTGGTGGCAGTGCCATCATCCTCGCTATCGTCGAGCGCACAATCGGAGCTGCTATTGCTAAGTGTGCGCTTGCCGAAAGTGATGCTCTTCAAGCCGTTATTATTGCTGTTGGCGCTGCTGCTGTTGCTACTGCTACTGTTTAGACTAGTTGCGTTGGTCGTGTTGTTAGTAGTGGCGGCGGCGCTAACTGAAGCGGCATTCGTGTTGCTGTTGCTGGTGGCGGATGCAGAAGTGGCGGTATTAGTAGTTGCAGCAATGTTGTTGCCGTTGTTGTTTGCTGTTGAAGGCAACTGCCGATTAGCTAAACCACCTCGAGATGCTTTTATGGTTTTTATTGAGTTTTATGTTTTAGATTTTATTTAATTTCATTTATTTATTTAGTTCGTTTTAAATTTAAATACAACAAGCGGCAACCGCAGAAGCGGGTTTTGAGTTTTGTTCAGCGGCAGCCAAGCAGCAGCAAAATGTAGGCGGCAGTAGTGTATATATTCGATTTGTTTGTTTGTTTATTTGTTTGTTTGTTTTTATTTATTTATTTTTGTTTTTTAGACAAAAGCACATCAACAACACAAACAACAATATATTTATATGCAAATGGCAGCAAACAGGACACAGGCACAATTTATGTATTGGAAAAAGATAGAAAGAAATGTATAAAAATAACAAATGTAGAATTAGAACGAAAACACTAAGGATTATAAATGCAATTGTTCAAGATGAAAATGTGGATGACTGTTAGTTTCTAAAATGTTTGCTATAATCGAGTATATACAGATGATCAAGGGTGATGAAATACTGAATACGGATATCTCGAAACGAAATCTTTTAAATAATCCTTAATTTCAAAACAAATTTTTAACACGTATTTAGAAAGGGCAATAGTTGATAAAAAAATAGGCTAAAATAAAATAATTGTCGTATTTTAAGACATTTTTTAACGTAAAAATGTTAAGAATTCAAAACTGCTTTCCTGCCAACTAGCGAGTTCTGACAACTGCTTAACTTGGGCTTCATGTGCATAGCGCTAAACTGCGAATCCGTAAACAGTTGAAAGCGCTCTTGAGTGCTCAAAGAGAAGTCCTTTTTCGCTTCATACTGGGAGCACTGCCGAAAGCTATCTTTACTCCTGCTCATGAATCCGCATTTGGCCAGCAGAGTCAAAATTTTTTTTAATCGTAATTCCTTTGCATTAAGCTTTTACTTATTTATATTGCGTCAAAATGTACCAAGAAGAAGCCAGAAGCAGTTATCAGAATAGAGCAAGAAAGCATATCTATATTTAAGAACTATTTAAGGGTGCTTTGTGTTCGACATATTTTGAGATTCTCTGAAAAGCATTGTCTTGGTAAACCAAAAATAACAACTGGCCAACGTAGGTCTTGTCTTTAGACACTTTGCCTTGTTTAACTAGCGTTTGTTAGCAAATGAATAAAAGGAAATAATAGTTCATAGTAAATTTAAGCTCTAGTTTGTGTATTTTGTGCCGATAATCTTATACAAACAGTGCTAAAGAAACCGCCACCAACAATTTTAATAACTACAAGCCAAAGAAACTTAAACGAGCCAAAGCATTGCCAACTCACAAGAGAAGAGAACAGTTCCTTATTTTAAGATATAAAAATACATAGAAGATCTTATAGCTTCACACACACGCATATACACGCTCTACTTACCTAAATCGATTTTTGTCTTTGTCACGGTATTATCCAATAGTTCATGCTGCGGCACTGCAGCGTCCAACTCATCTTTGATTGGTACTTTTCGTTCCACGGTGGCGGTCTTCACACCCTCACCGTCTGGCGAGAGATCAGAAATTTCAGTGTCTGACAGTTCCGTTTCGAGTTTTTGGAATAACGGCTTGGGTGGCGTTTTACGCATCATTTGTGGTGTCAACTTAAGCGTGGCGCTGTCATAGGGCAGACCAACGGGGAAACCAGCCTTGCGCTGTGTCTCCTGAAGCTCATGTTCCAAATTTATGACACGATCTTTTAACTTCTTCACGAGAGCGTTGTATTCGGTGTCCTTCTCTTGCAACAGCTGCTGATAGAATTCCTCACGATGGCACATATCCACCTCGCGTTGCTGATACTCACGCACCAAACGCTTGGCCTTGTTGTATTTCTTATCCAGCGCCATATATTGCGCTTGTGATTGTTGTAACATATTTTGTAGATTTGAAGCCTCTTTTTTAATGTTGGTTAGCTCACGCTCGCTTTGACGTAGACGTTCGCTAAGCAATTCATTTTCATTGCCTGTCGTCTCCAATTTGACGAGCTAGAGGAGGAGGATGAGGAGGAGGAAAAAAGTTTGAGATTATCAATTGTAAGGTTGGGCAGCTTTAAAACAGAAAAAAAACATGCACAGCAAAGCGTGATTATTGCAAAGGAAGCGCCGTGTGAGTACGATTAATAATGAGGAACTAAAATGAACAACAAATAATGCAAAAATAAAAAGAAAAGGCGACAACACCCACCTTTAGCTTCAGCGTATCGATAATGCCGTCTTTCAACAGGCAACTCAATTCACTCTAAAAAATTAACGAAAAAAAATAGCATTCAAAAGAAAATCATAACACAAAAACAACATAATGATTAAATTAGTTTGGAAAAATTAAATGCGATATTAACTTTTTACTTCGAAATAAAAGTATTGTAGTTTTAGAAAGCAAAACGGGCCAAAACGAAAAGGAAAAATCACATGAATTCGCTAAAAATTATTTAGAGTATTTTGTTCAAAACCAATTACCGCTTTATGCTGCATTCGTAACATTGGTAGTATTTTTTTATGTTTTTCGCAAAAATATTCGTTTTGTTTTGGTTTTTTCGTGAATCCACGTCATAAGTAAATTACATAAAGGAAACATATAAAAGGTTTAAACAGTTAAACTCTTCAAACACTCCAAACTTGTATTTAAATTTCAAATTTCCAATCGATCCACAACACTACGTACCTCCTGTAGCAGCCTCTTCAGAGACTCTACCTCCTGTGAATGGGTTGCCTCGACCTCCATTGGATGTTCGACTTGCACGGGACTCGAAGGACCCTCACAGACACTGGAGTTAGCCGAAACGGGTTGTGTGGAGTCTTCCGAGTAGTCGAGTGTGCGACGCAAGTACTCCTCTTGTTGTCTGCAAAATGAGAGCAAATGAGGGAAGAATTTACACTACATAGTCATTTAAAAAAACTCGACGCTTTACCTCTTCAATCGCTCCTCTTTCTCTCGATCCGCCTGCAAGCTCAGGCGTATAAGTTGCGCTACCTCCGAGTTCTCCGGGTCACGCTCACGTCCAATTTGAAATTTCACCAAACCCGAGGTATTACGTAACACGGATGCGGCATAAGCTTGTGTCACACCAACTAAACTTTTGCCATCCACTTCGATGATTTGGTCATTAACCTGAGCAAATTTAAAAGTTTTAACCAAAGTAAGTACAACGGCGCTCCCAACAGCCACATCGAAGAGCTGGCTACACACACCCTTGTACACGTACACAACGTACGGTCTTAGTAATGTAGCTACTTCTCTTTAAGTCGCCGACGGGAGCTGCCCAAAATGTACGAAACTGTCGACGTCAAAACTTGAAAATTTCAACTCACCTGTATGCGTCCGTCTCGTGCGGCTGCACCGTTATCGGTTATAGTTTTCACAAATATTCCCAATTTTTCGAGTCCGGCATCGGCACCAACGCCCATGCCAATTATGCTCAATCCTAAACCTTCGGGCCCTTTCATTAACTCAACCGGGAAGACATGCATCTTCTCGACACGCTTCTCCAGCTCATATTCAGCTGAAGCAGCAACAGGATCAACATCTTCATTGCGGCGATCGTAGTCGGTTACGGAGAATGTTGAAAATACTTGTATAGGTCCTGAGCTGAAACGGACTTTGGTATTCTTTTTCACTGGTATTGGTGGGTAGGAAAGCTCGTCGTCATCAAAGTCCAAGAGACCTGCCGAAAGATATAAAGTAAAGATTTTTATATGGAACTTTATTCGAATTACGATTTGAAGGAAGAAAACGTTGGAGGTTATGCAAATCGTTCAGATTGTAAAATGAAAGTAATATAGTGGAGGCTTCATTAATTACTCGACGATGCAAGTTTGGCATCATATTCGGAGCAGCCTCAAAATATTTCTTCGAGTTGCCGATTTGGAGCTTCCTTTTCGATTCATTTTAAGAGAACTCTGAAAACCCACGGGTGCTCAAAACCCTTCTATTTAGGTGGTTAGAAATTGATATGCCAAGACTGCGACTATTTGGGATTTCCAATGTGAGCGTTTCCTTTTACCACCAATTCTTTCATTTAAACCTAAGTTTAGTGGGGCTAAAAAAATAATTGCGTTAAACGAAACTCACCCGGCACTTCCATCCAAAAGTTGCCATCTTCAAAGTAATGCACGCCCGATTCCACATAGACTTCCTTACTTTTAACCGGCGGATATTCGGGTATATAGAATTGTGACTCGTCGAGTTCTCCACCACCAAGACTGGTTGTTGTTGTATTAGTGTTAATTGAATGTAGCTCCCCTTCGGCCAAAGAGTAGGTCGAATTGTGTTTGCTCGAGATTATGCTATCATCAATGGTTGTCGTTTGATTGAGAGTGCCATCCGACAGTGTTGATTCAACCGAAACAATTGACTCTTGCAGAGATTCGCCGGTTTGGCCATGTGGTATTGGACTGCTGGGATCCTGTTGTATGAATGTTTGATTTAAAAGTGATTGTTGCGATTGTTGTTGTTCTTGCTTGCTGGGCGATGATTGTAGCTCTTGATGTTGCTGGCTTTGTTGTATAAAGAGCGTAGAATCGTTGTCGGCATCATAGCTGGTCTCGACCTTAGAAGCAGTCACCACCTCGGAATGTTTACTTTCAACAAAACTCTCACCGACACCACCGCTTTGACTATCCTGTGAATGTCGTCTGTCGCTACCAGCAGAGCAGCGGGAAATTAGCAAATTCTCAAGACTGCGATTAGGCGCCTCAAGTACATCACGTAGCCATTCCGGCTCATCGTCGTCATGTATATTATTATTGGTGTTGCTGTTGCTTTTGTTGTAGTTGTTATTGGCCTTGTTAGTTGCAGCACTGTAGCTGTCCGCTTTTGTGAAGGTCGCATTTAAAATATGTGCAGGTGCGGCACCAATGCCAACTATGTCGACATCCTCGTCTTCGTCCTCGTCCTCGTCTTCGTCGTCCACATGCTCATTATCATTCGCACTGTTGGCTTGCTCGACTTCCCTACTAGAAGCTTCGCCGTCGGCACTTACAAGAGTGACAGTTATTGAATTACTTCCGCCACTCGCCGAAGCACGTACCTCTCCACCAGTTGAGTCGGTGTTAACTTTGGTTGTTGTTGTTGTTGTTGCTACGATAATATCCCTTCTATCGTTATGCTCTGCAGTCGGCGGTGATTCTGTTGTTGGTTGTGTTTCTTCGATTAGACTTTTAATGCCAGTTGGCGAAGTAGCTGTAGCGACGACAGCTGCAACGGCCACACCCACTGCGGGCACAGCAGCTGATAGGATCTGCTCGACTTCCTTGGCTTGTTCGTCTGAGAGCAACGACTGTTGTCTGGCGGATGCGGATACATTCAGGTGAATGCAATCAAATTCCAAATGCGCCGATTAGCGGTATTAGGGAAAATGTTGGAAAAGAGAGAGAAAATAAACAAAAAAGGGAGGGAAACACAGTTAGATTGGTAATTCATGGTTATTTCAAGACAAAATGAAAGTTAAACTTATTATTTCAATATAATCATGAGATAGCACCGTTTCCAGTTTGCTGTACATAACTACCAGACAGTAATATCCTTAAAGCCATTTAATTTGATAAAAGAACGAAAAAAAATAGAAATAAAATTGGATTTCTTATAAGAAATGAAATAAAATCAAATTACATGAATCATTTAAATAAAAGACATCAAATATAAATAAAATAAAATTCACTAATAATTTTTTACAAAATTTAATAACAAATTACAAATTTGATTATTAAAATTAATTTAAATAAAAAGCAAAATGAAAATAATTGAAATAAATTTGAAATACCAATGATGTTTTAAATATATAAAGAGTTAAATTCAAAAAAAAAAAATAAGTAAATAAATATAGTTAATAAAATAAAATAAAATTCAGTATGATAAAATGAACTGAAAATATTGAATATTGAATAAAAGTTTAAACAAACAAAGTTTAAATAAAAAAAAAGATAAAATAAAATTTTAATTTTTTTTTTAATTTTTTAATTAAAAAAATTAATTAAAATTACAAAATTTAATTTAAAAGCACAATTAAATTGAACAAAATAAGAAATATTTATAAAATTACAAAAAAAAAATGGAAAGAAATATAAACAATGGATTAAATCCAAAAAAAAAAAATTAAGTTCCTTTCGCATCTAAGATTTTTTCAATTTCTTTATAATTAATACTTTACATTTCTAAGACCATCAATACTTTTACTGTACATTGCATAATAGTATTAATATAGTATAAATGCTTTAACTGCACACACTCGACCGTTAGTATACTGAATCAACTCTTCAAAACCTTCTTCTTGAGTCTATTGAGCACTTGAATTCTCAGCGATCGATTGATTAAATTTTCTTAATTATCTTAGCATTTTCAATTTATTTCAACAATTTTAAATGTAAATTTACTTATATGTATTATATGTATGTATATCGCTTGACAAATCTACACATGCAAAATCAATTAACCGAAATTAGATTTGGAAAATAAAGAATTAAAAATCAAACTAAAATGAACTTAGATAAAATATACATGCAAACATAGAGTAACTAAAAACAAAATAAATCAAAATACGTACACACACATATATATGTTGACAAAAAACAAACCTGATTTTGCTTTCCAAAATTCTACAGACAGCAAGCAAACACAAACACAGAGAGGCAGGCAGATGCGATTATTATTGAATTTAATGCCACATGTTGCAGCCACAACACCACCAAATCATTATGACGATAAGGCGCCAATAGTAGCATGTCGTACGTACATAAATATTTTATATAGGTATGCATATCGGTACATTGATATATATGACAGTAAGGATGCAGGCAAAGTACAGCGACAGGACAACAATCAAGTACACACACATAATTAATTATATATATATATATATATATACATGTAAATATATATGCACACGCGTTCGTATGTTCGCAGGCAAATGTTGTAGTTGTACAAATACGTTGCCAGCCAGACAGCATTCAATTGGCAATATGAGACGATCACAATACATATAAACAACAATAATGCAATACATAACGATACGACATACGGCATAAATGTAATTCAAAGCGAGCACATACGATGCGACAAGAGGCAAGGCAAGGCAAGTTGTATTTAGAGTTGTATGTATGCGTGTAGTAATAGCAGTACAGTTGCAATTTATGCATGCAATACGCACACAAATAAAAATGAAATGAAAAATAGAAAAAATTAAGAAAAATTAAGAAAAATTACAATCAAATTACAAAACATGCAAATCAAGGCAAAATTACGATATTACAATAACAAACAACTTAACTAAATACTTTAATGAGTAAGTTTTATAATAAAACTTTTGCATAACTACATACATATACATATTAATACCTTAAATTGAGTAAAAAATAATATAATAAATATAAGTTTTTTGTCGTTTCTAGATAAATAAGAAAATTATTTAATTTTACTCATTCAAACTCAACCATTGCGAGTACAAATTAGATCGGTCCGTCCTCAAAAGTAAGTTGTGGCCGATCTTGGAAACGATTACCCATTTCACAGGAACGGCTTTAATTGGAAGAAGGAAGAAAATAGACGATAGGTCATGCAGAGAGAAGTGTTGAGACTGCAATAGGTTTGATTGCGTCGGAGATAGAGTGTATCCTGGACAATCTAAAAGGTTTGCTGCTAAATGCTGACAAAACCAAGCGAAACCATTAATGCGAAACGCTATCGACTACAAGTAATACGTTCGAGCCACGTAATTGCGTAAAAAACGGTCGTAAACTACCGGAAGATATGTCAAGGTGACTTTGCAACATGACAAGGCTCGATCTCACGTGGCTTTAAGGGTCAAAAACTACCTGGTAACGTTGAAATAGGAGGCCTTAGCCCACTCGCCGTATTCTCCAGACCTTGCTCCCTTCGACCACTGGCTTTTATCGACGTATGTAAAACGCTTTGGGGGTCATGGGTTCGGGTCTTACGAGAGAAATCGAAGAATGTCTCAATGATTGGATGTGGGTTCTTTGACTCATTTATTAGAGATGGTAATCGAAAGGGAATGTCAACCCCTCCGAGAGTATTTCTGACATGAAATGAAGACTCCTCATAAAAACAAATTATAAGCCGTTCGGAGGCGGCTTGGTATAAATTTTAGGTCCCTCCAGGAGGAGGAGCCCGGCCGAAAATTGCTTCAGCGGTTGCAAACCACTCGAAAGTTACCAAAGAAATGGGAAAAGTTTTCGCTTCTGACGGACAATAAAAAATACTTTTTTGAAGACAAACAAAAATTATTAATTAATTTTATGCGAGAATGTATATATTATTGAGAATGCTGAGAATGGGTAGAATTCGAAATATTTGGCATAAGGATCAGAGCTAGATCCCACTTTGAACACAAATTTGGCTTCATCGGTATTTCTTAACGCACAAAAGCTCCTATCGAATTAGCGACTTAGCTCACACGTCATGGTTGGCAGTCATAACTTTTAAGAGGTTGACAATTTCGTCTATCTTGGAACCAGCAACAACAATGTCAGCCTGGGAATCCAACGCAGCATCATTCTTGTTAACAAATGCTACCTTGGCCTGTACAAAGTCTACGCGAAAAAAACAAGTTTCTCGTCATTCCAGTCCTACTAAGCTTGTATATGGTACAGACTCGTACTCGGCAAATTGAGACACCACTCCTACGCTGATTACCGCATGTCGCCTAAACGAATGAAAACGCTCAGAATTGAAACCCTCGGACATACGGGTGGCAAGGTCAAGGGGTACGAACCCTGTTTCACTTGGAGCATCCAAATACAGACTACCGCTTGCAGTTCGATCTATTTCAAAGCAGCAGAAAAATTCGTACTCAGCCTGTTCTGTCAACTGTATAAAAATAAGTGAAGCAAAAAAACTGAGCCAATAAAATTATTTCAATATTAAAATAAAATAAACATTATCATAAACTTTAATGAAAACGTCAAATTAAATAACTTTTAATTATGTTGATTATGAAAACATTTCACCTGGAAAATGACGGTAAAGATACCAACAAAAAAGGCAGAATATTTTTATTATCTTTCTTTTTTTGTTGCTTTTTTTTCAAATGACACAGTCAGCAATTAAACATAAAAGGTTGAGCGGAAGAAGGACAATGATGATTGTGTACAAAAGTAGTGAAAAAAACGACTGCTAAAAAGTAGTAATAAAAGAAATTAAATGGAATACAAAAATTAAAGTAAAAACCAACAAAGCTGTGGGCGTCACATCATTACACATTGACGCGCAGCGGACAGCCTCAATCACACGCCCAGCCAACGGAGCCGACGCACTCAAACGCATTTATATTTATACACAAGCGAATGAGTTAACTCCGGGAAATAAGTAGCATACTGAAAACACTTTATAACGGTATTAATATTTATTACATCGAAGGGAAACAATGGCGCGCAGACACGCCGCTTGCAGCTTTTGGCTTTAATGCCGCTGAGCACGACTGCACGACTGAGGCAGGCAGGCCAATGTAAATGCGGTAAAATGTGCATAAATGAAAGTCCTCATCGCATGGCCAACTAACTAAATAAGTATGGCTGTGTGCTGGTGTGTATGCACGAGTAAGTAGGTGTGTTGACAGGTGTAAAAATGAATTTTATTGCTTGTCCAATGATGTGGTAGATTGTTGGCTGGCAGGCAGGCAGGCAGGCAGGCTGCCGTGCGGGCGTGGCGGTTGAGAATAAATGCGTTTTAATTGCCACACTTCAGGCAAGTGACAGCGGGAAAAAGCGCGGCAAGAAGAGGCGTGTAAAGTCGAGATATAACAATGCAATAACTGTTGTGCAATTAAAGGAAGAAGTGGGGATTTTTGATTTTTTTTTGTTTGCATTTTTTTATTCCCAGTTATTATCGACAGCAGTGTCGAGGCTGGCAGTACAACAACAAACGGCATGCATTCCTTCTGGCTAACTAACCAACTCAAGCAATCGACATGCCAACTGACGTAATTGGACAAATTATGAGCGAGTGGCCAAGGCTTTTGGGCCACTGCACTGATTGGTATCAACATTGTCATATCGTTTCGACAATATTTACACCCTGCAGAAGCGCACTCACCCACACATACACCCTTTCATGTGCATACACACATCAACATTTGCAACCAAACAAGTGCAAAGCTGATCCACTTTAGCTGGCGTTGAGTCTCGGCTTATAGCTACCAGTGGAAAGACTCTCTCTACCACATATATTAAGTGCGGTAGATACATACATACATATATAGGTACAAAGGACTATGCATTTGTGTGAATTTTGGTATTGAGTTTTCGTTTGAAGATTTAATTTCAATTTACAATCTGCTTTAAATTGCTTTACATACACACACATACTTGTATTATTCTGATACTCTAGGTAATTGACAGTTGTCCGAGTCGTGGTTTTACTCAACCAAATGATGGTAAGCACACATAACAGTAAACCATCACGCCCTGTACACCTATTTGCTAACGGTGCAGCGTAACAATAACAATGGAAGGAGAAACGTAAAAAGTTTCTAGTTCTAATATTTATTTTATCTTTTTAAAAACCAAAAAGAAAAAATTAATGAAATAAATGAAAATAAAGTAAAATTACAAAAAATAAAATAAAATAAGTAAACATGAAATTAAATTACATAAACAAATATGAATTATCATATAACCAATAATTTGTATAACAAATTAACAAAGAAATAAAATAAAATTAGATTAAAAAAAAATATACATATGATTAAACAAAAAACATATAATTAAAAAAAAATAAATTAATTAAAATAAAATAAACTTAAAAAAATATTAATGAAATAATAAAAAATACAAAAAAAAAATTAAATCAAATAAAAGTAAATATAAAAGTTTAAATATTTTAAAAACTAGTATTAAAATATAAAACAAAAAAATTAAAATAATTAATAACAGCTAAATTTAAAACAGATAAAATAAAGGAAAACAAAACGTAAAAATTAAAATAAAAATAAAAATAAAAATAATATAAAATGAAATCAATTAAAACAAATAACATAAAAAAGTAGAGTATAAGAATAAATGAAATTAAATCAAGTGAAATGACACACTATTTCGTGTCATTGATATGTCATTCGCTAAACTTTAACGTATTTAGTTCCCTAGGCTATGAAAAAAAAAACAAATTTGCGCACCTGGTTCCAATGTACTTACATTCGTCACCTGTCAGCAGTCATGCAAATTTGTATTTTAACCAACCTTTTACTTATTTTATCCTCTCTAGCGCTAGCTAATCCAAAACAGACCACTGTCAGTCCAACAGCAAGACACTAGTCTGACAACTAAGGCCAAATGGTAACATGAAATTCAGTCGATTGGTCGAACTGGTCGACACAAAATATGGTCATTAAATTTGCCAAACAAACGCCCACCTAACCGACAACTAAAGTAGCCAATTACGCGCACAACTAAATTTTTAATAATGACAAATGGGCGCATGAAACTAACTAGACTAACTAGCAACAGCAGCGCGGTGAGCAAGCAAAAAAATAAAAAATTGGTTAGTCATGCAGGTATTCACCATTGTAACAGCAGAAGGAATTCACATTATGGATTAACCGAGAAAGACATGTTATGCCTATAATAAATGTACTTTGAAAATA